AATTTTGCATCATCGGCGTCACAAGGGTCACAAGGGTCCACCCCCACTGCAAGTCATAAAAATGATTTCCAACTCGCGATAACAGAAAATGGAAAATCCTTGCGGAGAAAAAGTAAATCTTGAATTTCGAAATTACTATCACCAATTACTCAAGCATAACTATGCGCGCGAGTGCGGTATTATCAATCCAGCACTCTCTCGGGGCGTCTAACGCATTCAACTGTCTCTGCAATGGCGCCTTGTATTTTCCGTTCATTGTTTGCTCTACAGCGAAATCCAGAAAAATAACGAACAAAGGGACTTTTTTTATTTTCACTCACCCGAAAGAACGTAATTTTCAGATCGTCCTACGTCGACATCAGCATCGCCCGTAACTGTCGCAGGTAGGCGTAATTCGAGGCACTATCATTCACGTACCGTATACGCTGCTCCTGGATGATGAGGATGCTGAGGCGTAGGTGCTGGAGCAATATCCTCTGGCGCGATTCGTCCTCTGAGTGTGGGCAGTTCCACCTGAAAAAAAAAATAGCAAAATTAGGAGGAGATTAGATAGTTGCGGAGAAACTATTGCATAATAGGTGACGTGATGGATCGAGGGGGGACTGCAGAGAAATTTCGACATCGCAGGGGCCTTTATTTCTCGCGCTGATGAGTTTACTACATCAGTTTTAATGTAGGGAATTAAAAAATAGGGTTTTAATTTTTTTTTGGTGATGGTGTCTTCGAAAGGGGCTCCATGACGCGATTCTCAATCGATTGACTTGAATTTTATCCTAGCAGTACGGAATATGTGCGTGAATATAATATAAGCAAATGAGATGTCCGTAAAATTTCAATTTTGTCATATCAATCAATTAAACTGCACTACGTTTCGAATGCTCAAGGCGTTCCTCCTCAGTTGCAACTTCATTCTGTATGAAACAAACCCCAAGGACAAAATCAATAAATTAAAGTCAATAATAAATTCACTATTGTTGAAATTGAATTGATGTCTATTGTTGGAAATTGAAACTTGGCAAAAAAAGTCTCAACTTTCGTTTGTCCGTGTCGCCACTACCTACACAGGTCCCCCTGGGCACACAGATCACCGCGTCCTCTCATTGTTCTTCAGTCCAGAAGTTTCCCTCGACACGACCCACGTATAACCGCGTGAGATGACTCGCTGGCGCGAGATATCGTCGGGGCCCGGCTGAAATTGCTTCATCCAAACAAGAACTATCTCCTGAAGTCGATCTGGATATTAATCAGCTCCGTATATCGTCGGAGAGAACGTCGCCTTGGACCCCGTGATCCTCTCACGACAGTTTACCTTGGGCTCGCCCGGAGTTGAAGTCTGACGGTAACGAATAAAAGGCGAGAATAGGGAGAGGGAATATCTTGGAGGAAAGAGTAAACAAAATGCCCGGGGAGAGGAAAAAAGTGAGGGGATTTCTATGGGATCGTCCGGGGAAATACATCTGAAGCCCTGCGGATGCCGGGGAGAATGCGCGAGATAAAGAGCCGAGTGTTTGAGCTTTTGACGGGGGAGAGGTTCGGAACTCGTTTTTATGAGAATCTTCCTACCGTCTTCGCTGGATTTAATCGCTGATGAAACATCACTTTTGGGGTGGCCCAGTATCTTTTACAGTTTGGTACGGGCCACGCTGTAGATTCAAACACTTTCAATCATCAAATTTGCTGATTAATTTGCGGGAGAAATATTTGAAACAAATGGGGAATATTCGGCGCCAATCGAATAACATTTTGAACAGAATTATATATTTTTTTAAATATTCGTTGTTTTGTTTTTAGTTATTATTTATAGTGAACACATTCGTTGTTTAGGAGGAAATAATTGAAATGGTTTGAACCTTCGAGAACCTTATTTTTTGAGGCGGGACACCGATTTCTGGGAGAATTCTGTTCATTTATGAAATTGATTGGTTGTAAATGATTTATGGAAAATGCTCGTAATTTTCAAAAATTGCAATTTTTAAATCATTTCAGCAATCTTTCTCCAAACGTGAAGTTTTTAATTTTTTTCAGCTCTTTAAAATGTTTTCTAACGGTTGAATATCGAGATTCAATATTAGACCTGCGACGGTTTAATAATACAATAACTATAAATTCCAACAAAAAAAAACATTTTTTGACACTTATGACCCTTGTGACCTACTGGGAAATTTTATATTCCTGATCATTTTTTTTCAATCTAAAAAAATTGAGGACTTATAATTTTTTTTCGAATTTATGACGAATAGTGACACTTATCTCCCAAATAAGGATCGTCCGAGCGTTTTATCTTTAGTCTCTTTTACCTCATTTGTCCAGCAAAATTCGCGATTTGTCTTCTTTCTCTAATCTGCGATAATATTGCCTTAAAAATTAAAGATTACGAGTTTTTTAACCCTCAAGCTTTACTGAAGCTGTTTGAATTCCTGTTGATTTTTGAAGTGGAGAAAAAACCGCGGAAAAGACCATTTTCCCAGTCTCAATTTAAGAAATTTGAAAATCGCAATTTGAAACTTTCACAAGTCTTAAAATAAAGCTTGTATTTTTCGGAGATAATCAATTTACCGATGCCCCATTATTTCCAAATCGTCTTTTCACTTTGTCCGTGAATTGTGACGATTGGTTTTATCGTAAGTGCCGATCGAACTTTAACGGCCGATTTATAGACTCGTTTTGACTCCATTTTTATTTTACTGGAGTTTGAAATGCGCCCAATAAAATCGACTGAAGGGTATACTTCCATTCGACTAAATTCCCTGACTCATGAATGACTGTATTTTCTTAGTTACCTCTCGTCATTCTGAAACACTACACGGAGAGCAAAATTCAATAAAAATTACCAGAAAAAAACGTATAAATTACGTTTCGAAAGATAATCCGCGAGCGAAGTAAAAAATAATTTGTGAGTTTGAAGAATTTGAAAATACCACGTGTTTTTTGCGATTGACTTCACGCGATTCCCTGGCCAATCAGAGGCGACCTCACGAAACTTTCATCTTTTATAACTGGGATCAAACGCCAATTGCGATTGTGCGGTGGCTACACGACTGCAATAATAAAACCGCGAGTGTCTCACGTATTTTTTACCCCGTGATAAAACATGTGAACGTCAGAGATTTCAATTTTCTCAAGTGGGCAGCCTCGAGTGCCTTTGAAATGCTGAGTATCTCCCTTCACACTGTTTAATATCCCTGGCCTGTACACTCCGCCTTGCGACATTGACCCTCTCGGTGACCCCAAAAATAAATGCAACATTCCTGCGTGTAGAGTACAGCGGATAATGAATTCCTAGGATTTCTTTTAATGTCTTGCTTAAGCAGGATTGAGTCATCTGAGATTTTCAAGGGCTTCGTGAGGGTTCTTATTGGCTCGACTGAATAAAGACTTCGAGCAAACATTTCTTGAATTAAAAGATGTGAGGAGAAGACTAATGACTTGAGTTTTAATGAAGGTTTTTTGGTTAAAAAAAAATATGTGGGTTTCCCTGGAGGGGAAAACGGTGGGTTTTAATTCAAGTCTTCGTGATGGCTGGAATTTTGAATGGCTTAAAATACAAGTCACGGAATTTAAGACATTTTTTCTGTCTCAATTCCATTATTTTCTTAACGTTCTCCAAATGATTGGCTCTTTTCATGCAACATGGTCGACTATCAAGAAAAAATGAATGAAGTATTTGGAAAAATAAATACATGATAAGTTTTAAAAAAGAGATCCTCAAATTCGACATCTAAAATGTCTAGAATACATGCCGCAATGTCTTAATTTGAGATATTCAAAATTCCTTAAATTTAGGGATACACGGGAAAAAAATGGAATTGAGTATAAAATATCTTTAATTGAATTGAATTGAATATTGAATCAAGATTCAAATATATTTTATACTCAATTCAATTTTTTTTTCAAGTTTTTTTGTTGAAAATACTTGATTCAAATATATTTTATACTCGAATCAAGTATATTATATACTTGATTCAAGTATATTATTCTTGATTCGAGTATATAATACATTCCATGTACAGTATATAATGTAATTCCATATAAAAACGTCTTCAGAAAGGTCTTAAAAGTGTTTTAAATTCAGACACTTATTTTTCTAGTGTGACTGAAATTGTGAATGTCTTAAAATGCAAGTCAACAAATTTAAGATATTTTTTCTCTCAATTCAAGACGGTCATTTATGACGGCGGCACTGCGACAAGACATTAACCCCACTAAACGTGGAATCATAAGACGTTTTCGGTGCCGTATTTTGATCACAAAAATTCTTTTACCCAAATTTTAAAAAATCTCCAACTCTTTCTACTCTGATAGAATGATTAGTTTATTCCAAACGAGATTCGTTAACTATTAACGAATGGTAGAGTTGAACATGACCAAATGAATATTCGTTGATAGTTAACGAATGGTTCACTTGAATGGCAAAAGTCAACTATTAACGAATGAACATTTTATGAGACAGAATAGGCCCTAACCTCCAACCAAAATCCCTTCGTCAACAATGACTAATCCGTTCTATCAGTGTACGCAAAAAACAAATAAGACATCATTAAGACTCCACGTCTTAATGTTTAATTCCAGCCACTAATTTTTCTAATCAAACCGGAAGAAACTGAAAGCCAACAAGTAATCAAATACCTGAATCTCATTCTCCCAAGAATTTTGGAGTTCACCCAGCTGAGATGAGCCTATAATTCCCATCCATTCGTCTCCACTGACTCACGTGGTATCCCCCGATCTCCCAAGATGGCTGCGCGCATCTTGGGCGTGGTCGTATCTCCCGCAAGCCCGGATTATCACAGTAATCACCTCGATTTCTCAAACGTCACATCGCGATTAATCACCACCGCAAAACAATTTTCGTCGTGTCCTGTGATTTTCGCGTTGTTTGAGGGATCCCCGCGATCTCCACGTTTCTACGTTCCAACGGCACTCGCCGAGGGCAGCCATATTGCCTTTCCCCTTCCACTGCACACACACGGTCCAGCTGACAGCAGTTTCCGAACGTTGCCGCGCCTCATCACGCCACCTCGCACTGTGAAAGGTTCCAATGGAAGTTGTCATGTTTAATCTGCGTAAAAGGTTCAATTTTTCATCAATAACTTTAAAATTAAGAGTTTAGTAAGCCCTTCAATCATTCTTCTGTTGGAAATCTTAGGAATTCCGGCGGAAAAATGAGTTTTTGGAGTTGAGTAGAGTCTATTGATTTTCTGTCTCGTGTGGTTTAGTTCCGTTTCTTGTTTTTTTATTTGCATGAGTAATTGAACTATTGTTTTGAGGTATTTTGGTTGTGAAGACAATTTTATTAGGGAAAAATTGAAATTCGGGCGGTTTTCATCTTCGATTAGAAATTTTGCGATTAAAATTTTTGAATAAAATACTTTCAATTACTATGCGATGATAATAACTGCGGGGAATAATGCATTTGCAACAGAAAAATCGAACTTTGCTTGCGATGAAAAAAATTCATGCATAATCACCGACAAAAAAATCGTTCAAGCTATAAAAAATGTATTTTCCAAGCAAAAAATATGGTAAGTCATACGACGATGAGTTTTTTCTCTCTTATGAAATTGTAATACTCGCCTTCGGTTTGGATTATAGAGTCAGATTCGTTAGGAAAAAATATTATCGGCCTTGTGACATAATTTACTAGTACGTCATAAAATCCGCAAAGTATTTTCTGACGAATGGCAGGAAATACGTCGCCGTCGGCTCGGATTATAAGAGGCATAAACAATTTTTATTTTTCTCATCTTTTGAGATTTCCCCTCACATCTGCCCCTGAACAAATCCAAAGTTTTTTATGAACAAAGTTTTTTCATAACGCACGGAGAAAATTATTTGGTGAATCTCCAGTTCTTGAATTTCAACAACTAGTTGATGAATTTCAACAACCAGTTGGTGAATTTCAACAACTAATTGGTGGAATTTAATAACTATTTGTTGTTGACATTCATCAACTAGTTGGTAATTAATTTTTTCAACAAACAGTTGGTGAATTTTACAACTTTAAAATAGTTGTTAAATTTCACCAAATAGTTGTTGAAATTCACCGACTAGTTGTTGAAAAAATCAATTACCAACTAGTTGGTGAATTTCAACAACAATTTGGTGAAATTTAACCCCTATTTTAAAGTTGTTAAATTGTTGTTGAAAAAATGAATTCCCAAGTAGTTGTTGAATTTCACCAGTGAATTTCACCAAATAATTTTCTCCGTGTGAAATCGAAAAATGCTCGCACTGCCGAAAAAGCCAGCGCAAGCATAAGAGGTTAAAAATAACCTCGTGGTAAATGAGACTGAGAGAGCGTTGAGTTGTTTGCGGGGATTATTTGGAGCCCACGGAGAGGGTAGTCGGGCGTCATGTTGACTCGGCAGTCGCGGTGGAGGCAAGAGCCCTTTGAGAATGCGCGGGCAACTCGGCGCCGCGCGACACTGGTGGGGACGTGCGACGGCCATCTTGCCACACACTTTCATCAAATGGCTCTCTCCCTCTCTCCCTCTCTCTCACTCTCTCCCTCGGGCGGACAGCCTTTCATTCCCCAGCTCAGACGGTTCATCTTTCGGTGGTTCTCTGTTTTACTTGACACTTGCGCTTGACTTTTTTCGCTTTTGGCTTTTCACGTGTGCCTTTGACACGTGCCGCCGTCTGATCTTTAATCCAATTCGGAGTTATCCTTTGGGATGACTATAAGTGAGGGATTAATGGAGGTTGAGGGGAGGGAATTCCTGGAAGTCCTTATTTTTTAAAAATGAAGAGCCCAGAACAATTGAATTTTGTGTCTTTTGAAAATGAAAATTGTATTGGGATGATTCGAATGGGCTTAAAGTAAGCTGTTTTGTCTTTTGGGATTTCCGTCTTTAAGACGTCTTAAATGGAGTTGGGAATTTATTGGGACACTTTTTGAAATTGATTATTCTTTATCGGAAGACAGAAAATTACTGGAATGTCAAGCGTAACTTTTTAAGACAGTGGGGATTAATGGAAGTCTTGAATTAAGACATTTTAATCCGAGTTTATATTTCTCCTGTTAAGATATCTGTGGACTCGCATTTTAGTCCGTTAGAAAAATATTCGTTTACTTTAAATTAGTCATTATCATTCATAATTATTGGTGAATTCTCCATAATTGGAGATTCCCGAAATGTCTTAAATTTTGGGGCACAAATATCTTAAGCCAAATTTATGTCAATTTAAGACACAACCTTCATCAAAGTCACAATAAAACACCAAAAAAAAATTTTTTTTAATCCCACCCTGAGGCATTTTTTATACCTCACGTCCTGAATAAAGATGGCTTATTAAGCCATTCGCCTTTCAATTCCAATCCCAAAAAATGACGAAAAGTCCTGGAATATTTCCCCAGCTGTTGAATCAAATCGACAACTCAACCCCTCAGAATTCAGAAATTTGCCACTGAAATCGCGCCTGAAAATGGCTTTCGCATCCCTCCGACTACGTGAGAATGAACTTTCCTGTTAACTCAATACTTTGCTGCGTTGCCTCGTAGGAACGACTTAAAAAAACACCACAAAAACGTGTAATGATAACGCAGCGGTTGCATTCCCATGCGACGGCACATAATAACGTGACAGACGCCTCGAACGAAGTGGAACGGAAATTGCTTCGAACGCGTTATCAACAGCTAAGCACTATAGTTAGCTCGGTAAAGTCAACTGGGTGCAGCCTCAAACTTAATTGACACTGCATAATAAGGGATACAACAACACTTTTCCTTTTTGATGCATTCAATAATTTTGTAGATGAATGAAATCGTCAAAAGTAAATAATTGACCAAAATTTTGGTTCACACATGTGTTCTCCCAATATATTTTCTTCCCTTTCAGAATTATCAGTTTTCAGAATTTCAAAAAACTTCGGAATTGTAAAGTAAATTGTCCTGAAATCAGAGCTGATTATTACCATTCATGACAATTTTCTCATGTACCTGCGATAATTTCAGTGAAATAAAGATGAATAATTTTTGAGTAGAACAAGTGCTGTTGAATTAATTCAACATCCACGGGCTATCGTTCGATAAGAATAATCACGAGTGCCAGGGAGGTGTCTGTAATCGACACGACAACACAACGAGAGAAGAAATGACCTCGCGAACCCCAACGAGAGATCGTTGTCCATCAGACGAAACTTACTCGTCCCCACTGTCATGTACACAACATTTAACATTTTTATTTTTCGAGTGCGTTGGGCTTATCAATGGATTTATTACGCACTGATTTCTAACGCGTTTCGCATGTACAAATAGTGGAAACATGAGTGAAGAAAGCGGGGAGAGGGAGAAAAAGTACAGAAAAACTTGGGTGACAAGTCACATATATTTTAGAAATGTTCGGTACACTTTTTCAAAAGTCGTCACAGTTTAGTTCAAGTGAAATTTTAAGGAATTTCGGAATTGTCAATGCAGAATTTCAGGGGAAAATCCATGGGAACAGTTCGCTTTTTCATTTTTGTTGAAAAAATCTTGAGTTGAAAAAGTATACGAAAAATTATCATTTTCCCGGGACAATAAAAAAAAATTACTATTCGTCTCGCACTTTTACCCCGATATCGAGTGAATTTTTGAGTGAAACTGAATATTTTCTGCCAAATTCCCTTGAATTTTCCGGGAAATTCCGTTTTAAATGATAATAGTCAGCTTTGATAATCATCTTTACGAAAAGGAAAAAAAATATCTCTCAATAACAGACTATAAAATAATGTTTGTGTACATATTGGGTATGTGTGAACCAAAATTTACGTCAATCGGTTGAGAATTGCGTCATAAAGCGTCACAACCCTATTTTTCATTCTCAACATCAAAACTGAAGTAGTAAACTCGTCACCATAATAAATGAGGCACCAGTGATTTCGGAATTTCAATGCGTTCTCCCTTCGACGAATGAAAATAAAAAAATTCATTAGGATTGGATTTTTCCCGGGCGTTGACATGCGACAGTGCGATATTTCCAAAAGCCTTTCGGCCGCAGCGTTATTGTACACCGACTCGAGCCAAAAAACGAGCGAGTGGAGTGAGCAAGCGAGGTACGTAAGATCGATGGTATCAATATGCAGTAAGTCTGGGCCGGACTGTCCTGCGGTTAATGGAGAAACGTGAAACAAAATAAACAGGGAAAACACTAAAAAAAAACAAAAACAAAGGCATTAAACGTTCGAGTTTCTCTTTCTTCTTACTCCTACCTGTTTACTTCCTACGTTTTAACTCGGTTACAATTTAAAATCCATTTATCTTCTTTACGATTCGTCTCGCGCAATTTCACAATCATGAATTAAGTACTCGGGGGTAGCCAAAAGGCGAATAAAGAACAAGCACTTTGTTCTTTTCTTATCGTTGATGGTTTTTTTAAAGCGCAAACTGACTTGCGGTGTCAAGCGAGAATTATTGCATTATTTATTCTAATTTCAGCCTTGGGCTGTGCCTGAAATAAATTAATGAGTGTTTTCACTACTGAAATAAGGATGCCTTATAAGTTTTTGATATGACGCTCAAGCACTTTGCGGAATTAATTAGAAAGCATTTATTTTCGGCACAAGTTTGGCGAGGCCTTCACTAAATTATTATTATTTTTTTTGGTATTGAGTCTTAAATTAAGCCATTAAAACGGTCCTAATTTAAGACGTCTTATACGACATATTTACGTCTTAAATGTACCCCAATTTGAGACTACAATCTTCTCCGATTAAACGACACATTTCCACGTCTTAAATCTGACTTCAATGCCCTTGAAATTCCGTCACTGTCAATTTAAGACATTGAGACATTCAACCCCAGCTTTCGCCGTAAAAGGATGTGAACGGCAAGCAAAACGGCCATTTTGATAAAGGTGAGAAGTACTCTGGGGTTTGAGTATAACCGTGCTTGAGTTCTTTGAAGGCAATTTTTAGCATTGGGGTATACACGCGAGGGGGGATGTGACTGTATGGGGGGGCATCTCTCGCGTACACATTCGGCTGGAGTGTTGGGAAGCCATGCCGTTTCACGTTGGACGAGGTCGGGAACTCGTTGCCATATCAATATACCTAAGTGAAATGATACGAGTCGGCCGTAAAGACCGACAGTAATGACGCATTAGGGGGTTGGCAGGTCGATTTAGTCGGCTATCAAACAAAGGCGACTTTTTATTGGACTGCGGTAGCACGTGAGGAGAGCAAGAGCGCTCTGTCGGGGGAGGGAGAGAGATGGTTTAAAAAAAGGTTGAAGTATAAACTTAGTCTCAAAAAGCTGGCTCTCCGGTGCACTTGACGCGTGGGGGACAGACACTTTTTGGGGACATTTCACGCGGTTTATTGGCGAGACGATGCATTTAGGGGTATCAAGCGTTTGTGGAAGCCGAAATGAGTGCGTGGGCTTGGACACGATGGTTTAGGGTCAGTCGAGAAAAAACAAACAGAATGGGGTGATGTAGCCACTTCAAATGCTGGGGTCTTGAAGCCTTTTTTATTTCAGATATGATTGAAATTCCAAATGTTTTTAAGTTAACGGTTTTATTGGTAGTTTGGGATTACTTGTGAACAGAGTGTCTTAAATGGGAACCGCTCTGAGAGAAAAATTATATGTTCCCCTGGAGAAACATAAAAATTACTGATTTCAAGAGATCTTGAAGTACGACAACTCTAAAACGGTTTAAAATCGACTTTAAGGTTTAAAAAAAATCATTTTCAACACGTTGGAAATTAAGACTGTCTTAAGACCCTAAATTTCTAAAAAAAAAGACCTATTTTCGATGAAACCACTCATAATGTCTTGAGTCCGTCGAACATTTCAATTTAAGACGCTGAAAATACGTCAATTCCAATGTCATAAACTGTTATATTCAAACGTTTTACCGATAGTTTGGGATTACTTGTGAACATAGTGTCTTAAATTGGAACCGCACTGAGAGAAAAATTATGTTTGCCACGAGAGATGGGAAATATCTGATCTCAGGATAGAAAAAACTACTGATTTCAAGAGATTTTAAAATACGACAACTCTAAAACGACTTAAAATCGACTTTAAGACATGAAAAAATCATTTTCAACACGTTTGAAATTAAGACAGTCTTAAGATTCTAAATTTCCAACAACAAAAAAGACCTATTTTCGATGAACCACTCATAATGTCTTGAATCCGTCTAACATTTCAATTTAAGACGCTAAAAATACCTCAATTCCGATGTCATAAATGTCCTAAAAAAATAAGTTTGACTACCTCCATTTAATCCCCGCTTCCCCTCACGAATGAGTTTATCCCCTCTCTCACTCCCTCGCCCCTCGCGTCAACCTCTTTATCGCCCGTGCTTCTTTGAACTCGTGATTACTAATATAAGTTATGAATATTTTTCAAGCGATTACTCCGTGCGATTACGAACACTCACCCTCTCTGTTCATTATCCACCGCTCCGTGAGAATCAATTAATTCCCATGACCCCCCACTTTTTTTCCTCCTCCCCCCGCCCTCCCAAATCAATAATTTTCCCCTCAGAATTCAAAATTTTCGTTTTCTTACCTCAGGAAAGTCCCGAGGAACAGCTGTGCGGGTGGATGTGGCCGATGGAACGGCCCGAGACAAACTAAACTCCAAGCAATTTAACCCCACTAGTCCCCAGCAGCAATCCAAGCCTCGTCCTTCAACCAGCATAAGGTAAAAAAAAAGTTTTTGCAGGGTAGAAAAAAAGGGGGGCCTCAAATGTGGGTATTTGTGGTGATTGCGAGGTCAGACGGTCGAGGTGGAGTCTATGGCTCTAGCGCGTCCGTCGGCCGAGGCCCCTGGGGCCCAATACAAGAACCGCGCAGGTTCTTTCTTACGACCCTTTCCGGGGTTCCGCGGTCATAAAAATGGCTGGGACCCAACCAGTGTTGTCAAGTGTACGATTTTTATCCTCAAATTTTGAGGAGTTTCTGATAGTTGAGGATGAACTGCGGAAGTCTCGTTTGAGTCTCTCGTTTTGTTTTTTAAGACATGAGTTGTGGGGTTGTGGTTGAAATGAGGTCCTGGCCCTTATGACACTTTTAACCCTTGCTGACCCTTGCGAAACTTTATTTTTTGGGGAATTTTATCCTCATTATCTCTCGTTTTGTTTTTACGGTAAGAAATTTGAAGTTCTGGTTGAAATGAGGTCCTGGGCCTTATGACACTTTTAGCCCTTGCAGACCCTTGAACCCTTCTCTTAATATTTGCTAATTTTCACTTCATAGAAGCCAATTTTTTTTATCATCGTTTTATTATCATCAGAATGTAAGGATTCTGTTTTTCAGGAGCTTCTGGCCCTTATCACACTATTAACCCTTGTCGACCCTTTTTTCCTCTTCTGCGGATTCTTCTCTTAATTATCTCTTTATTTCATTTTCTTATTTTACGAGACTTGGAAGGGATTAATTAGAGACTTTCATAGTCTCAAGTTGAGACGTTTGAAAGTCTCAATTTAAGACATCTGAAAATGTCAGTCCGAGACTTTGAAAAGTTTCAATTGAACTTATAGCTTCCAAAAAAAAGCTCGTTTTATTTTGAATATTCGACAAGTGAATCCGATCTGAAGACCATGAATTTCATCTGGCAACCCCGGAGCCAACACCCCTACAAGCAATGACCGGTCACCCCGTTGAACAGTTTTTTACCGATGACCTCGTCACTGACCCCCTGAGTTTTTTGGTCCCTTCTTTAACAACCCTTGAGACCTTGTCCCCCAGACGAACCGTAAAACCTACTCTGTTGCAGGAAATGCACGACCCCTGTTTATTCTTTCTCCGTGCGTTTTTTACCTAAAAAATCCTTGAATTGCACCCAATGCGTAACCAATGTCGGGGTTTTTTAACGGCCACCATCGAGTGACACTCCTGGAAGGGTGCGGGTGTCCTTGGGCGAAAGCTATTTAACCCAACGGGAGAGTCCCGACTGCGTGACACTTATCCTCTTTTTTACGGAAAAAGTGTTTTCGTCAGGTATGTGGGACAGCAACGAGATAGGGGAGTACGACTTTTTTCAGTTTTAGCTAGACAGCCGCCAGAGCAGAAGCGCTCGGAGCGACTGAGCAATTCCAGAGTTCTTGCGGTGAGTAAACGCTCAGTGTGCACTTGTAACAATTTTTTCGCCCATTTTTCTTACCAATGTTCAGGCAAAATTGGCTCTGCTAAAAGACTGTACGTTCCACGAGAGAATATTTGTTGGAGTGGAACCGATTTTCTTGAGGGAAATTAGCCAACTTGATAGAAGGAAATTTAATATCTTTCACAAAAATTAAATTTTTGTCGTGATCATCGGAAATATCCCTAGAAGAATTCGAACTGTTGGCAGGAAAAAATATAATCTATTGTACGACAATCATTTCATTTCAGAGAACTCCATAGGTTTATACTACAGAAAGAATACATTGACGAGAAAAAAAATATTCTTTCCTCGTCAATGTATTCTCTCGAAAATTCCTGGAGAAATTCTATGGAATTGTCGAACTGAATTGTTTAGGGCTAGAAAATCCTGAAATCGGTTTGGGGGTAGCTAGTATTTGGATAAACATCTTCCATCAGTAAAATTCTAGACCCGATACAAAGGAGCAACTCAACCGATGGTAAACAACATTATATTCCCCGATTATCTCCACTGTAATACACATAATACGCGATAAGGATGTTTTTCACGCCCCTCTTATCCTTGACGTACGTGAGAAAACGCGCAACGCCGAGTGATTTTACGATGGCATTACCGATATGACTTTCGCACGTCCATGGAGAATCATAATTGATTTTGCCCCACACCTCCAGCAATCCAGAAGTACTTAATTACAGGTGATCCCGCGCACTGTGTTACCGCATGATCCTTAACCTTCGATGTAATAAACCGCTCTATTACGATTCGCTCCGCCACGCGGAGGGTATATCACTCGATTTCGCAGACTATCTGAGGTCTTTCCTGGTGCCAAGCTTGCGTGGAGAGCAAAATTTATAAAAGAAAGTTCTGCAAAAAAAAATATAAGTCCCCAAAACGCAATTCCCATTTCACACATCTGTTGTAGACATTGTTCAGACACCAAAAAACGTCTGAATAACACGAAAATTTGTCGGAATTTCAAACATAGTGATACCGCGAAGCGCGAGACAAACGAGACGAGAGACATGACGAGACGAGACGAGACGAGATGAGACACGACGAGAGGAGACAAACGAGAGCATCTCTCAATTATCGACGAGGCGAGAGAAGAAATTGCTCTCGTATTTCGATACGAGACGAGAGAATAGTGTCCTGCCAACGAGACGAGACGAGACAAAACGAGACGAGAGGAAACAAACGAGACAAGAGACATGACAAGACGAGACGAGAAGAATCTCTCAATTCTCGATGAGACGAGAGAAGAAATTGCTCTCGTATTTCGATACGAGACGAGACGAGAGAATAGTGTCCTGTCAACGAGACAAGATGAGACGAGACGAGAAAATCCAGTTTCTCGTCTCGCAACATCACTTTTCAAACGTGACTTGAGATATTTAGGCACTTGTGCGTCTAAAATTCAGACAAATTGTCATTTTATTCAGACGTTTTTAGTGTTTGAAAAATGTTTACAAAAGATATGTGAAATTCAGACATTCGTTTTTGCTGTGAAGACTCTAACATTTCCAAGTTTAGCATGAAAACTGCTTTATGCGGGGATAAAGCGAGGTTTATCGACATGAACACGTACACCGAGGGATGTTGGAGTTTGGTGTTCGGTCCGGGGGTGCGTCGGGAGGACGAGGGCCTTCTCCCGGCGGCGATCGTCAATCAGAATTCCACGAATTAGCGTTAACGGGTCGTTATTGCCGCGTCCATTTGGCTAGTGTACAGTTTGGCCGTGGATATGAGGCCATAGATTTGCCATATTCTGGGCTCTATAGGTGCACGCTCGGCGCACAGACCCGACGGAATCCGGTTAGTTACTGCTGCGTGTTACAGAGCCCCGCGTGCGGAAAGCTCTCGCACCCTCCCCATGACCCCACTATTCTGCCTTATTCGCATATATTCTTGTACAATAACTATAGGTGTGCGTTATTTGACGGTTAAGTGCGGTGGAAAAATTTTACACTCCTTTCTGCCGGGGAAATTCCTTTTCATTCGATTTTATGGAATATAAACACTTTCATTTGATTGTAAATTGGGGGGAGGGGATTTTGTTTGGGAATTTTTAGGGGATGAATCAACGAATCATAATTGTCGAAATCATTTAGGTCAGAGGAAAATAGAATAATTTTACTTTCTTAATATTGCGATTACTTAGGTTTTCTTCGAACAAAGTTGATTATAATTAATAGCTAGAATTATGAGATTATCTCACATTTTTGACGTTAAGGATAGGAGAATCTGAATGCAATGTAGTGAAAATGATGATCGATTTTTTCACTTTGAACAAATAATATTAATATCGAAATACAAAATTTCTGATATGAATAAAAAGAAGCTGCGACTCAATATTCCAAATGAAGTTTTAATTTTTAATTTGGTGCTGAATACACGAGATGACAATATTCTAAGCACGGAATTATATTGATGAGATGAACAACAGATTAATTGAATTACCGTGTGAACTAACTAAAAATTGATAACAGTGTGGGCACGCACTTTTACCGGAGTATCAACAAACATTGAATTCCAGAAATTCACACTCTGAAGTGTGTTCTAGAAGGAAATGAATTGTCATTATTATTAAAATCTTATTCGGTGGGCGTAGGAATTGGAAATTTAAGAACTGATAAATTGGGACATATGAGAAACAATTAATTGCACAATTAATTCAGTAGCGAAGCGGTAAACCGAGTTAAGTCGATTTTGTCTATTGACCAGTTTTTGACGAATATCTCGGAATCTAAAAGAGATAGAAAAATTTTTGTTAAGATATTTTTTGTAGAGCCACTTAAGGGTTATAAAAAAGTTGGTGCGAAAAATTTTGCTATCTCTTTTAGATTCCGAGATATTCATCAAAATTTGGCCAAAAGTCAACCCGACTTAACCCGGTTTACCGCTTCGCTACTGAATTGCACAATTAATTTGAAAAAAAATATCTCGAATCTGACGTGAAAAAGCTACTGTTTACAGATAGCTCCCAGTAGTCTCTTATTCCGAGGCGTCTTTGATTAAGCCTTAAGTCGACTTTAAGACACAATTTTCCGCAGTAAGAGTTCCTCCCGACGAACCCCGGATAAACGCGAAAATCAAACATCATCCCTTCGTGTACTTGCGTATGTCGATAAACCTCGATTTATCCCCACGTACGGAAGCCTCTTGCAATGGGGTGACGATCGTGGTAGCCATCTCTCTTGAATCCCCCCTCCCCACCCCTTGACCGAAGTCCAATAGGAAAGTTTCGTCTCCGTCCATCGCTCAGAGGGATCCCCACAGGACCCGGTTGATTTACGGGATCGGGAGATCCCTCGGTTTTGGGGGTCTACTCCTTGCCTATTCTCCCTCACATGGGCTGTCCGGGTTTTCGGATCAGATCGATTGATACGGGAATAAGTGAGGAGAGAGGGAGAGAGAGACTGTGATTTTTTTCGATTTTTAACTGTTTTTCAAGTGAGCGCAAGCTTTTCAAATTTTTTGTGGGAATTTCCAAAGCCGCTTATCATTGTTGGAAATTTTTTGAACATGAGTTATAGTTGTACTTGAACTCTCAATTTTGT